ACACTTTGAATGACAATTGCGCGGTCATGCAACACTGTACCCATATGAATTTTTTAGCATTTTTTTTGAGACAGATAAAGCTTTATTTTGGCGATATTTATTCACCACTGGGATTTTTATTTTTAGCTATGTAAGTGATAAAAGTCCAAAAATTTTGAAAAAAAGTGTTTTCTTATAAAATTTTGCAAATAAATAATATTTCATCATAAATCTTGACCAAAATTTATTCGGTTATCTTCTTAGTAAAAAAAAAAAAAAAAAAAAAAAAAAAAGCCGCAAATTTGTTTATAACCAAAAATTATATATTTTTTTTTACATTTTTATTTTCTACATACTGTCACCATGGTGACACTGTACTACTTGTGGGGGATGATTTTTTTTTTTTTTACACTGATTGCTTTTACACCCATAAAGGCTGTAAAAGCAATCATTTCTCCTTCTCTCTTGCTGTATTCTTGATTGGTCACAGCTTGCCACATGGTACAAGGCTGTTATGAATAGCCTTGTACCATGTGACCTCTATGATCATTCACAGATTTTGTGCCGTTTATGAACTGCCACCGTCCGGCCATTTATATACAGCAGCGGCCGGACTGCAAGTGGTTAACCACCTCCCTTCTGGCCGTTGTATATAAATGGCCGGACGGGGGCAGTACAGGGTTGGGTGGCCGTTTATAAACAGCCTCCCCGCCCCCTGCTTGTGCGCGCTCCCTGGGAGCGCCCAGCACTGCAATCCAGTGCCCGCTGTGTCCTCCGGACACAGTGGAACACCGATCGTCGTAAGGGACCTCTGTGCGAGGTCCCGATCATGTGATCGCTGATTGGCTAATCAGTGATCACATGCAGAGTAGTAAGCAAGATGTCACTTCTGACATCATTGCTTACTACCTGTGAAATCTGTGAATGATCACAGAGATCACATGGTACAAGGCTATTCACAACAGCCTTGTACCATGTGACAAGCTGTGACCATTCACAGCTCACACAGTAGTTCTCAATGGCTGCAAGCATTCAGCCAGAGAGAAGGAGAAATGATTGCTTTTACAGCCTTTATGGGTGTAAAAAAAAAAATCTTCACCCCCCCCCACAAGTAGTACAGTATCACCATGGTCACACTGTACTGCTAGGGTGACAGTATGTAAAAAAACAAAACTAATATAAAAAAAAATGTAAAAAAAGTTTAAAAAATTATAATAATTTTTGGTTATAAACTAATTTGGTTTTTTTTTTTTTACTAAAAAGATAATGGAATACATTTTGGCCAAGATTTATGATGAAATTTTATTTATTTACAAAATTTTATAAGAAAAACACTTTTTTTTTCCAAAATTTTTGGACTTTTCATTTACATAGCAAAAAAAATAAAAATCCCAGTGGTGACTAAATACCACCAAAATATAGCTTTATCTGTCTCAAAAAAATGCTAAAAAAGTACACTGTTGCATGATGGCGCAATTGTCATTCAAAGTGCGATAGCACTGAAAGCTGGTCTAGACAGGAAGGGGGTAAAACTGTCCAGACTTGAAGTGGTTAATGAGTCATGTTCTGTCAGCCTTTTCATTGCTGTAGTCTATTACTGCTTCGCACATGTGCAGTAGAGCCTTCACACATGTGCAGTTGCATCTCGGACGTCTCCACCCGGCCAATGACGTCAACTTATAATATTTTCCTTATATTCCTTTTTGGAATTAAATCAATTTTTTGATTCCCCTATGTTTATTCCGTTATACCTAGATGGATATCTGATGCCCATTATATTTTCCAACTTTATCACGTTACGCTTAGTTGGATAATTGATGCTCATTATACTCTTCAACCTTTTTGGACATTATAGGCCAATTAGACCTTTAGACAGAATATACTTTTATACCTCTCTACAATTTTCAACAGGTAAGATTGCTTACAATAATTTTTATTAACACCTTTTGATTTCTTTTTTTTAAATTAAATTAGTTTCTGATCTCTTTGTCTATCCTATTATGTCTAGATGGATGTTTGATGTCCATTGTTTCTTCTCCTATGTTTGTGGATGTATAGGTCAATTAGATCTTTGTTAGGTATCCTTCTAAAGCATTTAACAGGTAAAATTGCCCAAAGCTAGCTTTAACCTAATGAATTATGATTTTGTCTTTATATCTTCCGTTTAATTTCTCTTTTGTCTATTCTATTATGCCTAGATGATATTTGATGCCCATTATATTCTCTACAACGGTTTTGGACATGTAGGCCAATTAAGATCTTTGTTAGGTCATTTTCTCCTAGCTCTGTGAGCTTTCACATCCAGAGTGAGCCATTGAGTCCCATATATACATATATTTGATTAAATGTTTTGTATTGGATATATTAAAGTTGTTTGGTAATTTATATAATTTTCCTTTGCTACACCTTTAGACTGCCTCGGTGGTTGAAATTACTTCAAAAAATCTCTCTTGAAGAAGCCCGTGAAGTTGAAACATGTAGGGAATAACTACAATTACCTAACCAAGTTTGAATCTCAGTTTTACCCTTAGTACTGTATTTTTTCCTTTCTTGTGTTTTTTTTTACAAAAATACGAAATAAAAATTATATAACTTAATATGTTTACTATTCATGTTCATGCACCCTGAAAGTCCCATCTTCTCTATAGAATATTTGCAATTTTAAAGGATGTGGTGCAATAATCATATCTGGTCGCCCGCTTGCCCCTTCACTGTAATTTTCTCATTTGTTCATTGAAGGACACAGCAGATATTTTGATTTTTGAACCACTGGGTATAGTACATCCATCACAACCTTTTGGTTTTGCCAAAATTATGGTTTACCTTAGGCTGTGCTTTGTTTTTGTGCCTAGTGTTCTCCTAAAAGGTGGGGCTACAACTCAAAAGTTCAGGGATCAAGATCTCCCACTGTGTCCTTCAGTGAGTGCTCAGAAAAGGATTTTATGGCAAGTAAAAAAAAAAAAACAAATTTATGGCTAAGAAGCAGAAGTGCCCCCCTGGCAAGGGCAGTGTCAGGGTTCAGAGACAGACCTTTGCATAAACATTGTCATTTTGCCCTGAATGGAAAAGGTTCAACTGTCTCTTTAGCAGTACTCCTATGTACACCGATCTGTCATGGCTTTATGACCACGGACAGGTTAGGTGAATAACATTTATTTTGTTTCAATGGCATCTGAACTTAAGTGGTGTGTATATATAAGGTCTTAAGTAAACATGTTGTTCCTGAAAGTTGATGAGATGAAAGCAGAAAAAAGAAAAAGGGAATTACACTTGTGTATGGGACTGCACACTGGTCAGGGTGTTCATGCTGAGCTGTTTTCACAGCCAAAAGCACTACAATGGGCATGTGGATATCAAACCTGGACCACGGAGCAATGGAAGAAGGTGGCCTAGTCTAATGAATCACGTTTTCTGTTACATCATGTGGCTGGCTGGGTGCATGTGTGTCGCTCACCTAGGGAAGAGATGGCACCAGGATGCAGTATGGGAAGAAGGCAAACCAGCAGAGGCAGTGTGATGCTTTGGGCAATGTTCTGCTGGGAAACCTTGGTCCTGCCATTCATGCGGATGTTACTTGACACGTGCCACCTACCTAAACATTGTTGGTGACCAAGTACACCTCTTCATGGAAACAGTATTCCCTGATGGCAGTGGCCCATTTCAGCTGGATTATGTGCTCTACAACAGTGCAAAAATGGTTCAAGAATGGTTTCAGGAACACAATGAGTTCAAAGTGTTGACTTGGCCTTTAAATTCTTCTGATCTTAATCTAAAGGAGCATGTGGAGGGATGTACTGTATAACATGTAAAATCCACCGTGGGCCCACCTCACAACTTAAAGGATCTGCTATTGATGGCTTGGTGCTACATACCACAGCATACCTTCAGATATCTAGTGGTATGCTTCTATGGCTCAGGGCTGTTTTAGCAGAAAAAATGGGAACCTATCCAATACTAGGTGGGTGGTCATAATGTTATGGCTGATCAGTGTATTTTGAGGCATGCAGGACCTTCTTGCTTAACCCACAGAATGCAAACATTTTCTCTCACTGTAAAGAATCAATAGTTACACAGAATGCCAAAACAGAATTTTTATTCTGTAGAAACAAACACTAGAAAACGTATTTACAGTAAGAATGGCTGGAAATTAACTGAATCCCATTTTTATACAACGAGTACGTTTTTGCCTTGGCTGAATGGACAGGAAAAACAAGATGGCCAAATTAGAGGACGAGGCTTTGATGGAGGAACTTTCACTTAGGCTAGGTTCACGCTAGCTGGTCCTGCACCCGCAATTACGCTGCTTTTGCGAGATGCACTGAATGCATTAATTCTGAATGCCACCCCCAGGCATCTCAGCCCACAGTGCCGACGATCGCAGCAAAAAGATCATGTGTTTTCTCTGTGGCCGTGTTTTTAAAAAGGGTGCATGCACCTTTTTTTGTAGTTCATGTGGTACAGCAGCCCATTCACGGCCTGCACTTGTGTGAACCAAGCCTCAAAATGGACCTCAACTATTTTAAAAACTTTGCTGGCAAGAAGGCTTTTTTTGCAGAAGATACTTTGTCTGGCTCTTTTAAGCAAAACAAAAAAAAAAAAATGGTCTTATCTGCCAACAATGTGAGTGTGTGTTTTGTTTTTTCCATATATACACAGAGCTGCACATACACAGCTCAGTGTACAATCTCTTTGTACATGTATAGGAGAAATGTCATTTCAAGCTGACAAATCAGAATGGCTGAGGATCACAAACCCAGAACAACAAGTGGAGATGGCAGCGACAGAGAAACGAGGACCCATCAGTGCTGGAGGAAGGCGCTGTGTTAGGTAAGTCTGCTACAATGTGTAAAGATGCTGTGTACACTTGTACATTATGGAAAGAGCCCTGGCTGGTGCCAGTGTTTAAAAGATGCAAGCCTCTGGACTGGTACTAATTCCCTAATCTAGACCCATGCTTTTCTGGTTCTCATCCTTGAACAGTCTTTGTATATTTGTGTACTGGTAGGAGAATGCAGCCATGTCTACCACCAGCGAAAGTGAGCATATGCCCTGTTGGACTCGGCCATTTTATGTAGCTCATTTTTTTTCCTGACAATACTTCCTTCGTTCATGTAACTTTGCAGGATTATATCAGTAAGTTTATCATACATCCGTCGGCTAGTCTTCTGCTCTCGGCATGCTGTAATTATCCACTTCATGGCCAAGAAGCGCCGCCTATTGTCAGACAGTGGTGTTGGAACCTGTACCCAAAAAAACTCATGTTAAATGGGACAAATAAATGTGTGCATCATAAGACAGATGCTGTCACGTGTCAATACCTGATAGGATTTCCCGCCTCTTAGGACGCTTGTGAGGCCAATGGTGGGCTTGCAGTTGTCCATCGCTTCATGAAAGATGATGTAAGGATTGCATTCGATACTTTCCCTCTCATTAGGGGAGGCGTTGTAATATTTCTCCAACTGCGTTCGCTTTATTTTCTCTAAAGTCTAAAGAGAACAATGTCCATAAACACAAATGATGGATTATGTAGTACAAATACAGCTGTTGTGCTATTTTCCAGATGGAAGGGGATTGACGTATAACAGTTGAATGCTCTTTTGTGATAAATGTTCATTTTGCAGAGGAACATTTATCAAGCAAATGTAGATGCAAATCAGACTGTCAGAGTCGATGGAACAGTTTTTCTCTGTATTTGCGACCCTGCTCCTAGAATCCTGGGCAGCAAACCGTAACAAAAACTCCTAATGGCAGTTCCCCCGTCCCATTTCCAGGATGCTACAGGCGATGGGACACTTGTCCCTCAACATCACAGGAGCGAGTGCTGTTCCCATTCAAAAAATGTGTAGCAACAACGCTGAGCTCTGTGCCCAATGGCTGCAGTCCTGGAACCAGGACAGGGGGAATCTGCCATTAGTTTTTTTTTTTATATAGGTTTCAAGGAGTACCAATATGACCTACAGATATACAACTTAGACAAGACAAAGTTCCATTTACAGCTACTGGGAACATTTGGCTGCATGGACTGTTTTATGCAAATTGTCAACTAACACTAAGAATAGTAGAGGGAGGAATGTATTAATGAAACTGCCAGATTATCATAAATCTGTCTCTCAACACTGTTTAGCATTGCCCTCCCCTGATGTGGATCCATGACGCCCTGAATTTGTGTATGTCCTGGGCATTTTTTTTTTCTTAATACACATTTTGCTTTAACTCATTACTTAACCAATTTCTATATGATAGAATATTCTGGGGAAAGCAGAATCAATTTTCAATTGTGTTGAGGCCCATCAAAAATAAAATAGGCAACAGTTAACCAAAAAGGAAGTTTCAACACCTAAACAAAGTAAGGTGTGAACATGGCCCAAAGAGAAAATTGCAGTCAAGAGTCAGCAGAAAAATATTTTATACCTGACAAATGATTACCAGAGCTGTATGAGTTAATGAAAATGACACCCCAGCTGTACTAATGACCTATGTAACCTCATAACACTGTTCCGTAAAGGAGGAGTCAATTCTGTTTCTTCTTGTGCAAGTAAATTTCAGCTTGAGCTATTGAGCAGCATAAACAACTTTTTTTTCCATCCAGAAATAAGGAAATTGGAAAATGTGATAAAGGGCAACTAAATCTCCACTTGCTGGCTCAAAGGAAGACAATATGCCATGCCAATATACATTTTACAAACATGCAGCTGGTAATTAAAGAGAAGTAAAAATTAAAAAACTCCAATCTTGCATGATTGTCTGGAGTTAGTGATTCATTAAGTGGCAAATTCAGAGTCAAGAACAGCACCAGAGCCTGTCAACTCTCATATTATCTTTAAAGCTATGAAATTCCCTTTAAAGCAGAACTCTAGGCAAAACACTTTCAAAATCTTCTGGATAAAAAGTAGTTTACGCACATGATGTGTATGTTACTTTAAAGGATTGCTGCCCTTTCTTTGCCATTTACAATCTCACTTATGCTGGATTGTGTAATAATGTTCACTATACTTCTGGCACCACAACTGTTAGAGCTGCGGCTCTGGTACACAGAAGTCATACTGTCGTTTATCTGCCCCAATACCATGTCCATTCACAGCACACCTTATATTCTGCGAAACATGCACCTCATGTGAGTAATATTTTTTCCCCCCCCACACAGCAGATTTAAAGAAAAAATTTTGCCAGAGTTCTGCTTTAACCACTTCAAGTCCGGACACTTTTACCCCCTTCCTGTCCAGGCCAATTTTCAGCTTTCAGCGTGGTCACACTTTGAATGACAATTGCGCGGGCATCATGCAACACTGTACCCATATGAATTTTTTAGCATTTCTTTTGAGACAGATAAAGCTTTATTTTGGTGGTATTTATTCATCACTGGGATTTTTATTTTGTTTGCTATATAAGTGAAAAAGTCCAACAATTTTGAAAAAGTGTTTTCTTATAAAATTTTGCAAATTAAATAATATTTCATCATAAATCTTGGCCAAAATTTATTCGGTTATCTTTTTACTAAAAAAAATAAATAAAAATGCAAATTAGTTTAACCAAAAATTTTTATTTTTCTGCATACTGTCACCCTAGCAGTACAGTGTCTTGAATGAAAATTGCGCGGTCATGCAACACCGTACCCATATGAATTTTTTAGCATTTTTTTTGAGACAGATAAAACTTTATTTTGGTGGTATTTATTCACCACTGGGATTTTTTTTTTTTTTGCTATATAAATGAAAAAGTGTATTTTTCTTATAAAATTTTTGCAAATAAATAATCTTTCTTCATAAATCTTGGCAAAAATGTATTCAGCTATCTTTTTAGTAAAAAAAAAAAAAAAAAACCAAAAAAGAAAAAAAATGAAAAAGCAAATTAGTTTATAACCAAAAATTATAATTTTTCAAAAATTATTTTTGCATTTTTATATTATTTGTTTTTTAACATACTGTCACCCTAGCAGTACAGTGTCACCATAGTGACACTGTACTACTTGTGCGGGGGGGGGGGTGATTTTTTTTTTTTTTTTACAGATTGCTTTTACACCCACAAAGGCTGTAAAAGCAATCATTTCTCTCTACTGCATTCTTGCAGCCATTGAGAAATACTGTGAGAGCTGTGATTGGTAACATCTTGTCACATGGTACAAGGCTGGTGTGAATAGCCCTGTACCATGTGATCATTCACAGATTTCACTAGTAGTAAACAATTATGTAAAAATTGACATCTTGCTTATTACTATTTATGTGATCATTGATTGGCCAATCAGTGATCACATGATCGGGACCTCACACAGAGATCCTGTACAGCAATCGGTGTTCCGCTGTGTCCGGAGTGGTGCCACACTCCCAGGGAGCGCGCACAGGCTGAAATGGCGGGCGCCGTTTATGAACAGCATCCCGCCCCTGCACTGCTCCTGTCCGGCCGTTTATATACATGGGCCGGACAGGAAATGGTTAAGTGGACTTTATAAATGGTATAACTGCAAAGCATTTCTTTGGGAATATAACATCAGATATAATTAAAGTGGAGTTCCAGCTGAAAAAAAATAAAAGTAAATAAAAGTCAGCAGCCACAAAAACTGTAGCTGCTCACTTTTAAAATACGGACACTTGTATGTCCGTCGGTCCAGCAGTGTCCTCACAAGGGCTGGTTTCACCGGCCGTCTTCTCTCCCTGGCACCGGCATCTTCAGTGTGGGCACCCGGCTGTGAAGCCTGTCATGTGTCCCAGAATACTAGGGGGAGGGGGGGATGACAACTTCCACTTGCGATTCCAGTGGAAGTGGGAACTTGTCAAATTCGGGTACCTGCTCCCCAAAGGTGCCAATCCTTAATGGGGAAAGGGGGGCAAAGACTTAAAGCAGAACTTCCCCTTTTTGGTGGAGCTCCGCTTTAAAGTATTTTTGTTTTGTGTAAATCTAAATGGACAGATCAGACTTACCTTGTTCATGATGGATCTTGACAGTATCTTATCGCCACTCTTCATCATCATGCTTGTGAATTTACTGGAATTATATAGTAAGTAATGAATGCAGTTCCTGGCTTACAACAATAATTATAACCTTCTATGCGAGTATGTAAAGTCACAAAATAGGATTTAGTAAGACTGACCGACCCAATTAAAGTTATTCCAGCCCAAATAGTTTTGTCCCACAGAGAAAAAGGTCAGATCCTCATCAGGTTTTAATTACTGTTCGTGTCTTGTTTGGTAAGAAATTCTGTCACAGAGAGAGGATGCAAGAGGGAAATCTATCCAACTGGGGGACACCCACTGCAATTAAAAAAAAAACCCAAAAGATTTTTTCGCCTATGCCCTGACTATGGACATTACAGCAGTCACATATTCTTAACAAGTAGTAAAAGCTATTGAAGCCATCACTGACCTCTCTATCTGCAAGTACTGTGCAGTATTTCATCCTGGATGATCACAGATACACTTAAGCCAGTTTCAATCTCTTACAACAAGTTACAGCACCTGAAGTTTTTGCTCTTCTATATAAAAGGAGAGAAGACCAGTGATTTTTGTGCCTCTATTATGAATAGAGTAAAATTTCAGGTTTCTTGTTAGTTGCCAGAATGAAAGAGTTTGAGTGCCTCTCTGCCATTCAGAAGCCTTGTATTTGTTATGAATGAATACAAGCCTTCCTCCAATGGAATCACAAATTCCATCTCAGCCATTCAGAAGAAGCCTTGTATTTATTAAAGTTGCCGATACTGCTGCTGGAACACAGCGCTACTTACTGTATGAAATTAATGCTAAAAGAGTGCACACAATGGCTGCATCATTATGTAACAGAAATCGTTGGCTTGGATGAGCTTGGCCCAAACAAACTATTTAAAGAGATGGGAAAGCTGGAATTTTAAATTTAACCGCTTCTGCGCCGCCCTATAGCAGGAATAATGCTACAGGGCAACATGGGCATGCAAAATCACGTATATATACACGTTATTTTGCAGTTCTGGGTAGGGGGCCCTACCTGCACCACCATTCGCGGACTCTACTGTCAATCCGGTCCCGGACTGTGATTTCTCGCTAGCACCCGGTGATCGTCGAGTATTGGACGGGGGAAGACACCTGTGTATAAAGAACACAGATCTCTCCACTGTCTGGCATAGCAGAGCCATACAAAGCAGCGTGCTTACAGTGTAAAGCACTCTTACAGCACACAGTTAAACCTTTGATCACCCACATGTTAACCCTTTTCTGCCCAGTGCCATTAGTACAGTGTCAGTGCTTTTTATTAGCACTGTATTGGTGTCATTGGGGGTTTCCCCCCCCCCCCAATTCACTTACACGGATTGCAATTTTTTTTTTCTAGCAAAGGCATGTAGCAGAATACATTTTGGCCTAAATTTATGAGGAAATTTGATTTTTTAAATATTTTTACTGGACATGTTTAATAGCAAAAAGTTAAAAATATTGTTTTCTCAAAATTGTCGGTCTTTTTTAAGTTATATATCGCAAAAAAATGCACAGGCGATCAAATACCACTGAAAGAAAGCTTGATTTGTGGGAAAAAAAGGACGTAAATTTCATTTTGGTGCAGTGTTGCATGACCCGCGCAAATTTCATTTAAAGTAACGCAGCGCCGTATCGCAGAAAATGGCCTGGTCAAGGGGGGGGGGGGGGGGGTAAATTCGCTGGAGGGCAAGTGGTTAAGGATACGATTTCTCTACAGTGGCTGCAGCTATAGAGGTCAGTGACAGCTTTCTTTTAACGTCCTTTTACTGCTTTGATGTGCATCATCCAGGTAGAGGTCAACTTTAAATTTAGTAGTGTGTGGAATACCTCATGTCATGTTTTAATTGCTGTTAAAGCCTACCTCCACATTGAATGTCCCTTTAAATAGTTTGTTTGGGCCAAGCTGGCTCAAAAACTATTTACTATACTGTACTCTCAGCTATATACAGCGTTGTGTTCTGACAGTAGCGCAGAGTCTTCCCACCCCACTCCCGGAACAAAGTCGTTCACTGGGAGCTTTGTATACTATGGATGGCTACAAAGCCTCCTTTGACTGGCTGAAATGAAGATTGTGATGTCATCTGCCTGCTTCTCCACCCATGGCAGAACACAAGGCTGCATACCATATGTAGTTGAGATTATACACAGTTAATATAGTGTGCCCAGCAAGCACACCTGTTTGTTCAATATATAGTTCATTTGGGCAAGCTTGTCCCAAAAAACTGGGGCCAGTAAACATGGAGTTATGCTTTAAAGGGAAATCATCGCTTTAAAAACCACAGGAATCAAGAAAATTCAGTAATAACACTCAGGAGATTGTAACCTATCTCAAGGGAGGGTGAATGGAAAAAAAAGATCAACTATGCAGCTATATTTCAAACAGTAAATTAAAAGGTTGGAAATACACATGGGACATATCTAATGTTCAATGAATTAAAAAAACAAAACTAAAATATATTGAATGTACTGAACAGCAACAGTGGTTGGGAGGTCAGCCCTGCTACATCCTACACCTCTCTATGGTCTCACAAGGCTCCCATCATAGTTATGGACCAACATGGAGGCATGGGAAAGGACCTGGTAGACATCTGAATAAGAAAAGTCCCTTGGGTCCTGTAATTATGTAAAGTATGCCAACACATGAGGACAGTGACTACTTTCATCACTGCCAATCGTTTTGTACTTTAAAAAGTGATAACATGGTCACTGTAATTAGATTTGTGTGACATGCAGGTTGAGATGCTCTGTCATGTTTGTTTCGAGAGGAGAAAACTGGCTCTCTCCAGGACTGGTCAATCCTGGTTTCGAAACATGAAGGCATTGCAGAATAGTGGGCAGGATACCTCCAGCACTGGGTCTAAGGTTAGCTGGCAACCAGCATACTGTCTGTACACACAGTACACTGCACAGCACTTGGATGCTGAAGCTAGGCCTCCTGCCATGGAGTGAAACCGCTACAGAAGCAGCGTGTGTATACAGACACTAGGAAATTCTGTGTTCTGACCTCAAAAAGAAATGACTTGACCAGACTGATATCTAAAAGATGAAGTGGTCCGTGTCTGTACTGAAATGGATGGTGGCTCTGAAAAGACTAAAATATACCCGAGAGGCTGAATTGTTATGTTGTATCCTATGTGATGAAGCACTGTGTTGGAAAATTCTGATATACCGTATTTTCCGGCATATAAGACGACTTTTTACCCCTTGAAAATCTTCTCAAAAGTCAGGGGTCGTCTTATACGCCGGTATACGGCATACTGACACTTTTTAGGGGGGCGGGGCGGCGCGGTGCCCCCCCCCCCCCCCTCCAATGGAAGGGACAGTAAGTACAGGGGTGGGCAGGGGCTCCGGTCCCACGACGATCCGGTCCAGGAAGCGCGGCTGCTCCTTCAGTTCGGCCACTGGATGTTCGCGCGGCTGCTCGGCTCCGCCTCCTCCCCGGTGATTGGCCGCCAGAACTGTAGCTCAGGAAAGGCACACAGGCGGCCAATCACCGACGAGGGGGCAGAGCCGAGCGGCCCCGCGAAAATCAAGTGAAGGAGCGGCCGGTAAGTGTGCAGTGTAGAGGTGCTGCTGCAACCACATATGCTGGCTGCAGCAGCACCATACTAGAACAGAGGTCAGCAAGTGTAATTGGTGTCAGTGGGAGGAATAGTGCCCCATCATTGGTGTCACTGATACCAATGATGGAGCACTATTCCTCCCACTGATACCAATGATGGAGCACTATTCCTCCCACTGACACCACAGATGGGGCGCTATTCCTCCCCCCCAATTCCTCCCCCCCCACTGACGCCGATGGGGCGCTATTCCTCCCCCCCCCCCCAATGACGCCGATGGGGCGCTATTCCTCCCCCCCCACTGACGCCGATGGGGCGCTATTCCCCTCCCCCCCCACTGACGCCGATGGGGCGCTATTCCTCCCCCCCCACTGACGCCGATGGGGCGCTATTCCTCCCCTCCCCCCCCACTGACGCCGATGGGGCGCTATTCCTCCCCCCCCACTGACGCCGATGGGGCGCTATTCCTCCCCCCCCACTGACGCCAACGATGGGGCGCTATTCCTCCCCCCCCCACTGACGCCAACGATGGGGCGCTATTGACGCCCCCCCCCCCCACTGACGCCAACGATGGGGCGCTATTCCTCCCCCCCCCACTGACGCCAACGATGGGGCGCTATTCCTCCCCCCCCCCCACTGACGCCAACGATGGGGCGCTATTCCCCCCCCCCCCACTGACGCCAACGATGGGGCGCTATTCCACCCCCCCACTGACGCCAACGATGGGGCGCTATTCCACCCCCCACTGACGCCAACGATGGGGCGCTATTCCACCCCCCACTGACGCCAACGATGGGGCGCTATTCCTCCCCCCCCACTGACGCCAACGATGGGGCGCTATTCCACCCCCCACTGACGCCAACGATGGGGCGCTATTCCACCCCCCACTGACGCCAACGATGGGGCGCTATTCCACCCCCCACTGACGCCAACGATGGGGCGCTATTCCACCCCCCACTGACGCCAATGATGGGGCACGATTCGTCCCGCTAATAACAATGATGGAGCACTATTCCTCCCACTGACACCAATGATGGGGCACTATTCCTCCCACTAATACCGATAATGGGGCACTATTCCCCCACTGACACCGATGATGGGGCACTATTCCTCCCACTGACACCAATGATGGGGCACTATTCCTCCCACTAATACCAATAATGGGGCACTATTCCTCCCACTGACACCGATGATGGGGCACTATTCCTCCCACTGGTGTGCATTGCTAGAGGGGTAGTCTTATACGGCGAGTATAGCCCAAACACTACATTTTAGCAGGAAAAGTAGGGGGTCGTCTTATACGCCCAGTCATCTTTACGCCGGAAAATACGGTATGTAAGGAACTTTACTTTTGAATAAAAGAGCACAAATCCCTGAAACATACTTGTTTATATATGATTGATAAAAGTACTGTCTTTGATTGGCTACTGATAACGTTACATAAATACCTTATGGTTTCATCGGAGAAGATAGAGCTAGTCAGATTGGGTGCACATGCTTTAATAGGACTGACAGTTTTAAAATCCCATTCTTCCTTTTCTTCTTTACTTAGTTCTTCTAAAGGACGCTTGTATTTCTCCTTATCTGTGACTGGATTTACATACGCAGGGCTATATCTGCTCCACCGCACAGGGATCAGACTGTAGGAAGAAAGAATATCACCTTCAGCAGTCAACAAGTGGTTCACTCCTTCCAGATGCCTTTTTCTTTTTTTTTTTACCTAAAGCGGCATTAAACCCAAAAACAAACACTTAAAGTGCTGTTAAACCCCGGACCCTGCATTCACTGTATCTGGTCTCCCACAGTACACACAACATGGAAATGCAATTATTTTAGTAAATATAAACTGCTAAATACCTTTTCTCATCTGAAGTTAGAGCAGTCTTGTGGCTTATATCAGTGTCCAGCAGAGCACTAGCTAAAGATTGTTTTCTTTCTGCTCCAGGAGAATGCAAAACCCCTGACCTCTGTCTGACCAGTGCTGATTGGACCTGTGCTGATCACATGCACTCTCCCACGAAAAAAACCTCTCCAGCAATAACACCAAACTGAGCATGTGCAAAATGCCTACGGTTCAGTCTGTCTTATTAGGAGATAAGGTGTTCACTTGAAAAAGGGGAGGAACAGAAAAGAAAGGATCAAATTGCCTTTTTACACAATGCAGAGGATTAACCCCTTAGGTTCCACAGTAAGTATATCAGATTGATTTTACTGTTGTGGGTTTAGTAACACTAACTTATTGCAGCTTACCAATTCTTAGATGTTGCATAAGTTTTCTTTTTTAGGCTTCTTTTATTTTCACCTGGTGATCCTGCGCATAAGTCTGTTATTTTTCAACAGAACAAGTTGTCCTGCAGATGTGCCAGTTAGAGTGTAGAGACAAACCATTTAAACACTGACAGAGATGCTTGCAGTGATCAGCTCTTATTTATTCATGTAAAACCTTTATCCTTAGAGGGACAAAACTGTTTGCTGTAACTGCTTATAAAGGAATGTGGCTTCAATTTGTTTAGTGTATCTAAATCTGCTAGTCCATCTAAATTCTCCTCTCCCCCCAGACTGACAATTCTGCTGTCCAAAAGGTGCCCCTTTTGCTCCTACATCCAGAGTGGTGGCACTCTAATACAGATGATGTGTTACTGGCCATATCACCAGGGAAAACCAGAGGGGAAAAAAGGAATAATAAGGCAGCAACCTCATCCAATGATTGCCAATCAGACTCACTGGAGGAAACGCATAACAGAGACTGAATTCCCACACATTTGCAAAGGGCATCTATACCCAAGGCCCAATCCCGCGGATTAAGGGAGAAGAACCAGCTGACCTTTCTGTTTTCTTGGGAATGCCTCCGGCATGCCCCATTTCGTAGTGATGGTTGCAAACATTTCCTGGTTGAGAGACCATCTGTCGTGCTTGACTGGATGCTGACTTAGGAAGTCTGCTAGGGAATTCTTTTAGAGGAATGGCAGATATCGAACATAAGTTTTGCTCGGCCCAAGACAGTATGCGGTCTGCGATTGTTTAGAGAGGAGGGCTTCTTGTACCCCTGTTTGTTGATGTATTCCACCATAGTCATATTGTCTGAATGGATCTGCAGGTGACGGTCTACTAGATCTGCTTGAAAAACATCCAACGCTCGCTGTACTTCTAGAAGCTCCCTCTGATTCGAGGACCTCCAAGCTTCCCCCACGAACCACAACCCCTGGGCTGGGCTGTGCTGTCACCTAGATGGGCTCCCCAACCAAAGCTGCTGGCATCAGTCGTGATTATATCCGAATATGGTGTGGTCCATTCCAGACTAGATTGTACCGCCTTCGTCACCACCAAAGTGATCTCTTTATCCTGGAGAGAGCCGGACTGGAAGATCCAGTGTAGACCTGTCCTTGCTCCAAACCCTCAGGAAAAAAAGACTGCAGTGGGCACTGGTGGAATCTTGTCCAGGGAACAGCTGGGAAGCATGATGTCATGAGACCTACTGCCCTCATGAAATGGCCAATTTGTTCTGCAGCTCTGCCAGCACCTGATCTATCCTGAGAATTTTTTCCTGTGGAAGGAAGATCTCTCTACTGAGATAGGCAACTCTCTGGGAGGGAGTTAAACACGATTTGTCTGTTTATGAGCCACCCCAGACTCTGAAAGAAGTCCTGGGCAATCCACAGATCCTCTGTCAACTGTTGTTGAGACCTGGCCACAAAGAGGAGATTGTGCAGATAAGGAATGATTGTAATAGATCTCATTCTTAGGGGGCCCAAGGCCTCCGCAAGCACTTTCGTAAAAATTCTTGGTGCTGAGGCGAGACCAAAAGGTAGGGCCTGACACTGCAAGTGATGGATCTCTGTACCAATCCTTACCACTATCCTTAGGTATTTCTCACACGCATGCTGTATGGGGATGTGAAGATAGCGTAGCCATGAAACAATCTGGGTAAAGGATGTTTTTTTACAGAGAAGATCGATTTCCATCCTGAAGTGTTTGTATCTTAAAGACTTACTGAGAGGGCACAGATTTAAGATAAGTGAAACTTGCCTGAGGGCTTTTTTACTACAAAATCCCCTGCTCGTTCCGGGGATTTCAGGCCTGTGCCTAATCCTGATTCCTGGGAAGGCTGGTTACCAGATACCTGGTGTGGGGGGGGGGGGACTGGAGTCGAACTCCAACCTGTACCCCTTTTTTACCAAGTCCAGAATGTACTTGTTCAAGGAGATTGAAGCCTACTGAGGGAGAAAGGTCCCCAGTCTTCCTCCCATTGGGAGGTTCGAGTCATTGAGACTTGGTTGGGCCCTGAGGAGGATTGACTAAGATCCCCTCCGGTCTCCCGGAGCTCACCAATGATGTCACCGCGACCGGAACTACCGGATAACCAGCTTGGAGCGCAGATGCTCCACCTCCCGGAAGTCGCGGCCGCCTGCCCCGCGGTAGGACGCTGACTCGGTCAGTACTTTCTGGCGGTGGCGCTGGACCCCATCGGCTCTCCTCCTCCCTTGACTGGAAGGCAACAGGAGCACAGCCCCACTCCTCTCTGAAATGGAGGGATCGCTCCGGGCGAGGAGGTAACTTACCTTACCAGGAGCCACCAGCATCGCTCTTGAGCCTAGGGCTCCTATATAGGTTTCTAAAATGTGTAACTTTTCCTTCCAGAGGAAACCTTAACACCAAAAAGGGAGGCTTGGAGTGCCACCTTTTAAGGTTCTGGCCTTACGTACATGTTTCCTGTCCCCGGAAGGGAACAGCTCTACGACGATCCTGGAAGATGTTTTTGAGAAAGTTTATCGCACACACACATATACATTTTTTTTTTTTTTATATATATATTTATATATTACACACATACATACATACACACTGCTCAAAAAAAAGTAAAGGAACACTTTTTAATCAGAGTATAGCATCAAGTCAATTAAACTCCTGGAATATTGATATGGTGTTTTATGTAGCAGAGGGGGTTGTTAATCAGTTTCAGCTGCTTTGGTGTTAATGAAATTAACAACACGTGCAGTAGATGGGCAACAATGAGATGACCCCCAAAACAGGAATGGTTTTACAGGTGGAGGCCATTGACATTTTTTTCCCTACTCATATTTTCTGTTTTTCACTAGTTTTGCATTTGGCTAGGATCAGTGTCACTACTGATAGCATGAGGCAATACCTGGACCCTACAGAGGTTGCACAGGCAGTCCAACTCCTCCAGGATGGCACATCAATACATGCCATTGCCAGAAGGTTTGCTGTGTCTCTCAAGAGCATGGAGGAGATTCCAGGAGAATCGCTGACAGAAAGGACTGACACCAACAATGGGGCGCAATTCCTCCCAATGACACCAGCGTGGGTCCTGGGTTCCTCCTGGTGCACAACAATGCCCAGCCTCATGTGGCGAGAGTATGCAGGCAGTTCCTGGAGGATGAAGGAATAGATACCATTGAATGGTCCCCACGCTCGCCTCACCTAAATCCAATAGAACACCTCTGAGATATCATGTTTCGGTCCATCTGATGCCGCCAGATTGCACCTCAGACTGTCCAGGACCTCAGCGATTCCCTGGTCCAGATCTGGGAGGAAATACCCCAGGACACCATCCACCCTCAGGCACGCATACAAGCACATGGGGGCCATACAAACTACTGAATACCATTTTGAGTTGCTGCAATGAAATCTCAGCAAAATGGACTAGCCTGCTGTATCATTTTTTCACTTTGATTTTCGGGGTGTCTTTGAATTCAGTCCTCTGTAGGCTGATAATTTTCATTTCCATCAAACGATGGGGCATCCTTATGTTCCTAACACCAGGAGTTCCTAATAACTCCTATTACTCAGTCCATATCAGTATAGATATCAAGCATGATATTTTCCCCCATTAAGATCTGATGTGTTTTCAAAGTGTTCCTTTCATTTTTTTGAGCAGTATGTATATATTAACCACTTGCCCTACAGAAGATTTACCCCCCTTCATGACCAGGCCATTTTTTGCTGTTCAGCACTACGCTATTTCAACTGGTAATTGGTGGTCGTGCAATGCTGTACCCAAATTAAATGTACGTCCTTTTTTTCACACAAACAGAGCTTTCTTTTGGTGCTATTTGACCACCTTTGTGGTTTTTACTTTTTGCACTATAAACAAAAAAAGACTGGAAATTTTGAATACAAAAAAATATTTTTCAATTTTGTTTATAAAAAAATATCCAATAAACCCAAAGTTACTCATAAACTTAGGCCAAAATGTATTCTGCTACATGTATTTGGTAAAAAAAAAATAATCCCAATACGTGTATATTAACTAGCTGCCGACCGCAGATAGCCGAATGACGGCTGCACTGCGGCCGGCCAGTTCTGGGTGGACGTCATATGACGTCCTCCCAGAACGTGCTCTCCTGCGCGCCCCAGGGGGCGCGCACCCGGCGATCTCCGTGATCGCGGTGTCCTACGGACACAGCTGATCACGTGATGTGGTAAAAGGCCAATCACAGCGGCCTTTTACCACGTGATCAGCGGTGTCCAATGACACGCTGATCAGAGGGAAATGCAAGTGCCGGTTCTCGGCTGCACTTTCCTCACGCTGTCAGATCGTGAGGAAAGTACTGCCGAGAACCGGCAGTTGTCAGAGCGGGGATCGGCACTGATGATCGGTGCCCACCAGTGCTACCCGCAAGTTCCGCCCACCTGTGCCCAGCAGTGCGCCCACTAGCTCCGCCCACCTGTGCCCAGCAGTGCACCCACCTGTGCCACTCTGCAGTGCCACCTACCTGTGCCCAGAAGTGCCACCCACCTGTGCCCACCAGTGCCACCCACCTGTGCCCACCAGTGCCACCCACCTGTGCCCACCAGTGCCACCCACCAGTGCCCAGGTGCCACCCACCTGTGCTGCCCACAGTCAGTGCCCAGGGCTGAGCCAGTCAGTGCCGCCAGTCAGTGCCCAGCAGTGATGCCAGTCAGTGCCGTCTATCAGTACCCATAATCAGTGTCACCTATCAGTGCCGCCTATCAGTGCTGTCTATCAGTGCCGCCTATCCGTGCCACCTCATTAGTACTGCCTATCAGTGCCCTTTAGTGCTGCCTATCAGTGCCCATCAGTGCTGCCTCATCAACGCACATCAGTGAAGGAGAAAAATACCTGTTTGAAAAATTTTATAAAAGAAGCAAAGAAACTTTTTTTTTTTTTCAAATTTTTTGCACTTTTTTTATTTATAGCGCAAAAAGTAAAGTGCCCAGTGGCGATTAAATACCACCAAAAGAAAGCTCTATTTGTGAGAAAAAAAGATCAAAATTTGATATGGGTACAATGTTGCATGACCGCGCATGAAAGCTGAAAATTGGCCTGGTAAATAAGGGGGTATAAGTGCCTGGTAGGCAAGTGGTTAATTGGTTTGTGTGAAAGTTATAGCGTCTACAAACTATGGTATGTATATTGGAATTTCCACAGCTTTTACTTTCTGACTGTCTATCACAGTTCTTGAGGTGCTAAAATACCAGGGCAGTACAATCCCCTCCAAATGACCCCTTTTTGGAAAGTAGACACCCCAAGGATTTTACATTTTATTTTTTGGCAAAAATGTTTTTAAAAATGAAAAAATTTTTTCTTACACAAAGTTGTCACTTTAATGATATATTGCTCATGTATGCCATGGGTATATGTGAAATAACACCCCAAAACACATTCTGCTACTTCTCCCGAGTATGGGGATACCAAATGAGACTTTTTGGCAGCCTAGCTGCATACAGGCCCCCAAAATCCAATGACCACCTCCAGGCTTTCAAAGGGCATATTTCCTAATATCACTTCCACACTACCGATCACAATTTTGGAGGCTCTAAAATCCCAGGATAGTACAAACACCCCCCAAATGACCCCCTTATTGGAAAGTAGACACCCCACGGAATTTGATAAGAGGCATGGTGAGTATTTTACAGATATTTTTGTCACAGGGTTTTGAAAAAGAAAAAATACATTTTTGTTTTCTCTCTTTGTTTTCCAAAAACGTGGCAGCAAATGAGATCTGCAAAATACCCATCATGCCTCTTAGCAAATACCTTGGAGTGCCTATTTCTAAAAAGGGGTCATTTGGAGGGGGGGGGGGGTGCTTCTACTATCCTGGCATTTCAGGGACAACATTAGAAGCTTATGCTGCACATCACCCACTCTTGAAGACCAAGCCTTTTCTGACACTTTTTGTTCACATGTAAAAACCCCCAAACATATATTTTTAAAGGCAGAGTCTCTAGAGTATAAAACGGTGGGTGTTGAAATTTTTTACGTCACACAGTATTTGCGTAGCGATTTTTCAAACAAATCTTTTGGGAAAAATTTAGTTTTTAGCATTTTAATGTACAAAAACACAATATATTGCCCAATTGTTTGATAAAATATAAAAGATGATGTTACGCCGAGTAAATAGATACCAAACATGACATGCTTTAAAATTGCGCATGCCCGTGCACTGGTGACAAAGTACATACATTTTTAATATCGAAGGTGATGCTTTAAAAGCCTTTAGAGGCAACCAATTTATATTTACACAGGAGGTATAGTGCTAGAATTACTGCCCTCAATCTGATGTTCGTGGCGATACCTCACATGCATGGTGCAACAGTTGTTTACATACTGGCACGGGGTCAACGCTTGCGCACACAGGGATGCTTTTTTTGTTGTTATTATTTTTTACACTGTCCCTTTCATTTTATTTTTATCACTTTTATTGCTATCACATGGAATGTAAATATCCCCTCTGACTGCAATAGGCATTGACAGGTATTCTTTTTTAAGAAATCTGGGGTCTATTAGACTCTAGGTCTCTCTAATTTCTGTTTCGCCAGACTTTAACAGCGCCATTTGTAAATTGGGAAAGCATTTGATTACACCGAACTTGGTGTGATCAGATGCTTTCCCAATTTACAAATGGCGCTGTTAAAGTCCGTTGAAACGGAAATGATGAAATGCTCATAGCTTCCGATCTCTTAGACCATAGAGATGAGACTGGAAAGTGGTTTGTAAAAACGATTCAGCAGCTAATTGGCCACTAGGATTGCTTTTACATGAAAGCCGACCGTCAGCTGAAACAAACGATACCAGGATGACGCTTGCAGCTGTAGGAATCACCCTGGTATAACCATTCAAAGTCCAGTGATGTACCAGTATGTCGCTGGTTCTTGTTGGGTATATATGCTATGTTCTTTTTTTTTTTTTTTTATTCGTATGCAGCCTGTGGGCTGAATAAAAAAAAAAAAAGAGAAGAAAATCTCTGCCAAAAAAAAAAAAAAAAGTGTGGTATGCCCACCATTAAAATATACCACCCTGCATCCACCCACTTCTAATGGTGGGCACACATTAGGTCACACAGCTGCAGGCATCATCCTGGTATAACCACTCAAAGTCCAGCGACATATAAATACAGGCGTGTTCACACCACGAAATAGGAAATGACGTAGAACTATGCCGCTTTGCCTAGAGCCGCTGCTCACCAGCAGTAGTAAGTCATCGGCAAGTAGTTAAAAAAAAAAACAAAACATAAAATTGTTTTTTTTTTTAATTCTCAATATGGTATTTTTTATTTTATTGTTAACCTTTTTTTTAGTACTTTTAATCAGAATAGTACAATGTTACCATAGTAACATTGTACTACTGGGGGGGGGGGGGAATCAGGGTTTGATTTTAACTTTTTTACACTTTGCATTGCAGGAGAAATAAAGAACATTTCTCCTGCAATGCAAAGCTTGCTGTCAGAACCTAACTCATTCATGAACTGTCATGAATTAGGTTTTTGACAGCTCAAGATAGTGATCTGTGATTGGCTGAAGCTGGTCACATGGTTCAGGGTGCTGTGATTGGCCCCATGTATCATGTGACAGCTGTGGCCCAATCACAGCTCACTAGGAAGAGAAGCAGAGCTGTTATGAATGAGATTCATAACAGCTGTGCTTACATTGTGATCATGTGATTGTATAGCGATCACATGATCACCAGGATCTTCATTTCACATTGTCCCCTGGACACAGCAGTCGTGGGTGGGGAATGCTTTGTGCCCAGTGCCCCCCCTGGGGTTAGTACAGCCAGAGCAATGTATGGGTATGTCGTTTGCCTGTAGCTGCCGCAGTACATTGTGGGCGGGAAGCAGTCAATAATAAAGCACATTGCTAATGCTGTTTATATTATGTGTAAGCTGGTTATCTTGGGGTTCCAGCTGGGGCACAAAACACATGTGAGAGCAATATTTGTGTTTTATATTATTTTCCTTAATAAAGAACATTTCCCCTCTGTTTCCTGTTCTGGTGACAACACAAAATGTGAGATTTCTTTCACTTTTAGTGATAACAGCAAAGGACAAATAGAGTGTGTTCAGCCGCATTGTCATTACATTCTCCTATGTTCTATTGAACTGCATTAAGTTGTTATTGTTTTGTATTATGCTGGCATCTAGTGGTAGTTTTGGTGTGCTACAACTTGTTTATTAGGTGATTTTGGTATCTTCTTCTGTCCTCCCCTCTGTTAAAGGCAAGTTAGTTCAGTTCCCTGTTTCTTCCATGTTCCCCCAATTAGCGTTAGTTCGTCAAAGACTAGGTTTGGGAAAGCCATGGTCCACTTACACATCAAAACACTGGAAACAAACTCTGTACTGCAACTATCTGAAGTAAAATTGTGTTGGATTTAAGTTTTGTGTCCTAGTGAAGAGTTAAGCTGCCTGTGGATGGTGTCAAGACAGCAAGTGACCATACTGAACTGACTGGCTCTGAGGAGGTACGTCAATGCATAAAATGCACATGACACAGAACATAGAGGGTGAATCTCCCTAACGGGGGTACAGGTGGCAATAGAAAACAGGTTGTAATCCCTCTCCACTCCATCCAAAACTACGAACAAAGCTTTGCCTTTAGTTCTCCTTCAGCCCTGGTTCATACTGAATGGGTAAGGAAATTTGCAGCGGTTACAATGACACCCCGTTCATGCGAACCGCTGCAGGTATGTATGGTAACGCCCCGAAATCGGTTTGCAAAACGCCGTACGAAGTGCAGAATCAGATTGCATGGGTGTGAATACCGATGAGATCCGATTCTAGTGCAGACGCGGTACGATTTTGAGCCATACATTATGAATGGCTTAAATTGCACCACACAGAATTGTGATTTGCGCAGGAAATGACATCACACGTGATATGCCGCACCGCAGAAGTCTGAACCCAGGTGTTGATGCGTGTGTGCATGTGCACAGACCCCCCCCCCCCCCCCCATGCTGTACAGGGGGCACTCAACCATTCCTTGTGGGGAGCTCACAGTGCCCTGTCCTCACCCATGACCTGACACTCAGGAGCAAACAATGACCCCGACAGGTCGCTTGACATTCTCAGGTTCCCCCAGCACAGCTATGAGCGCACCCCGGCCTCCTCCTCCGGCCATATTACATGTATTAGGTCCCCCATTACCACACACCCGGGCAGTCCGGCCCTCATCCTCTGTAGGAACATCCTTCCCCTGGACGCCGCCATCTCTCCGCTCACACTGATCTTCTCGCGAGATCCTCGGAGACCTCTTCCTGATGGTCCCTGGCTGTGGGCGGGGCCTCCGCTGGCAATATGGCGGAGAGTGACGGGGAGAGCCTGGAGTCCTGGCTGAGTGAGTGGCAGTGACACCCGGCGGGTCACCACTGGTCACATGACATCACTGACATTCACCACCCCATTAACCTTCCCTGACACCCGGCACTGAGAGTCTGCACTGTGCACTGTCTGTGTTCATTCATTACATCCGCATTACACCGGACAGAGGACTTCACCCCACCGACACCCCGTGTGTGTGACAGAGAGAAACCTCAGATACTTCACCCGGGATATTCTCCTCACATACACCCCATGGGGGATTACCTGACTGGAATTGTATTCATGTCCCCTCTGTGTGATAAGTCACCCCCACATTCGTGATATTCACCTGACTTACACCTAGTGTGATATTCACCCCAGACTGATATTCACCCAGTGAATTTATTTCAGGTACTTATATAGCACTGTCAATTTACACAGAGCTTTACATATATATTGTACATTCACATCACTCCCTAACCCTCAAGGGGTGTACAATCTAAGGTCCCTAACTTACATTCATACATACACATATTAGGGACAATTTAGATAGGATCCAATTAACCTGCCAGTATGTCTTTGGAGTGTGGGAGGTAACCAGAGTACCCGGGAGGAAACCCACACAGGCACAGGGAGGACATGCAAACTCCAGGCAGGTGGTGCCATGGTTGGGATTCGAACCAACAACCCTAGTACTGCCAGGCAGAAGTGCTAACCATTTAGCCACTGTGCTGCCCAATTCACCTGACATACACCCAGTGTGATATTCACCTTGTTGTGATATTCATCTGACATACATCCCAGTGTAACATTCACCTGACATACACCCCAGTGTGATATTCACCCAACACTCACTCCAGTGTGATATTCACCTGACATACACCCAGTGTGATATTCACCCAACATTCTCTCCAGAGTGATATTCACCTTATTGTGATATTCATCTGACATACACCCCAGTGTGATATTCACCTGACATGCACCCAGTGTGATATTCACCTGACATGCACCCAGTGTGATATTCAGCCAGCATTCCCCAGAGTGATATTCAGCCAGCATTCACCCCGGAGTGATATTCACCTGACATTCACCCACTGTGATATTAACCCCACATTCACCTTATTTTGATATTCACCAGACATACACCCAGTGTAATATTCACCTGACACACATCCAGTGTGATATTCACCCCAGAGTGATATTCACTTGACATACACCCCAGTGTGATATTCATCACAGTGCGGCATTCACCTGACATACACCCCAGTGTGATATTTACCCCACATTCACCCCAGTGTGAAATTCACTCAACGTACACCCCAGTGTGATATTCACCCCACATGCACCTTATTGTGATATTTACCTGACACATACCCAGTGTGATATTCACCCAGCATTCACCCCAGAGTGATATTCACCTGACATGCACTCCCCAGTGTGATATTCCCTTCATATGGGCTCATATTCTCCGGGGTACACAGCTGAGCTTTACCAACCCCCCCCCCCCCCCCAACATAAATCTCATTGCCATCTTATCTTCCCACACATATACTCCACTATCCTATCACCCCTCATCGCTCCTATTGTCACCATACCCTGGGCCGTGCAGTCAGTGTCGTCATACCCTGGGCCGTGCAGTCAGTGTCGTCATACCCTGGGCCGTGCAGTCAGTGTCACCATACCCTGGGCCGTGCAGTCAGTGTCGTCATACCCTGGGCCGTGCAGTCAGTGTCGTCATACCCTGGGCCGTGCAGTCAGTGTCGTCATACCCTGGGCCGTGCAGTCAGTGTCGTCATACCCTGGGCCGTGCAGTCAGTGTGTCGTCAGTGTACCCTGGGCCGTGCAGTCAGTGTCGTCATACCCTGGGCCGTGCAGTCAGTGTCGTCATACCCTGGGTGCAGTCAGTGTCGTCATACCCTGGGCCGTGCAGTCAGTGTCACCATACCCTGGGCCGTGCAGTCAGTGTCGTCATACCCTGGGCCGTGGAGTCAGTGTCGTCATACCCTGGGCCGTGAGTCAGTGTCATCACCCTGGGCCGTGTCAGTCAGTGTCATCATACCCTGGGCCGTGGCCGTGCATACCCTGGGCCGTGCAGTCAGTGTCGTCATACCCTGGCCGTGGAGTCAGTGTCATCATACCCTGGGCCGTGCAGTCAGTGTCGTCACCCTGGGCCGTGCAGTCAGTGTCACCATACCCTGGGCCGTGCAGTCAGTGTCATCATACCCTGGGCCGTGCAGTCAGTGTCATCATACCCTGGGCCGTCAGTGCTGGGCCGTGCAGTCAGTGTCATCATACCCTGGGCCGTGCAGTCAGTGTCATCATACCCTGGGCCGTGCAGTCAGTGTCATCATACCCTGGGCCGTGCAGTCAGTGTCGTCATACCCTGGGCCGTACAGTCAGTGTCACCATACCCTGGGCCGTGCAGTCAGTGTCGTCACCAGTCAGTGTCGTCATACCCTGGGCCGCGGAGTGGAGTCAGTGTCATATCCTCCTGACATAGACCCCACCTCTTCATTTTTTTACTTCAATATTCCGCGGACATAGTTTGTTATTTTGAACTTCCTTTCCCATATACATTGTTGTCAGATTTCCCCCACATATAGTCTCTAGCACCATTACCCCCTGACATAGACAATCATCCCATAGAGAGCCCATTGCCATGTCCGTCTGGCAGAGTTCCCAGTGTCATATCCCCCTCACCATATAGTGTCTGGGATCATATTTCCATGATATGAAGCTTAGTGTTAGATTCTCCCACATCACACACGGGGGGGAATTAATGATAACAGGAAACGGAGAAGATGCTGATCCTAATCAACAAAAGGGGCTTAAGCCCCTTTGTTATAATTAGAAGCAGTCTATTCTCTGCCCTCTGCTGTGTAGGTACCAAACATAGAACAGTTCAGCTGGATTCCTCTGCCCCTCCCCCATTCCCACTCAGGTGAGATCAGGAGGATGAGGGAGAGCAGTGCTCTGCTGACAGCTCACCTCCTGTGTGCCAGGCCTGACCTGGAGGGGATCTGTAGACGTTTACTATAATGAAATCTGTCACAATTCCTTTGTTAATCAGGTGCTTCACCCTATGCTGGTACCCATACCCATGGTGTGAAGGAAGCAGGTAGATTTGAAACAGGTCTCAGCTTAGTTTATGTGGCACACACCACAAATGGCAGTTTCCAGTACTATTATTATGGCACAGGAACCTTTGTTAACCACTTGCCTACAGGGCACTTCTACTCCCTTCCTGCCCAGGCCAGTTTTCAGCTGTCAGCGCTGTCACACTTTGAATGACAATTGCACAGTCATGCAACACTGTACCCATATGACATTTTTGTAATTTTTTTTCACACAAATAGAGCTTTCATTTGGTAGTATTTCATTGCCACTGGGTTTTTTATTTTTTGCACTATAAACAAAAAAAGCAACACATTAAAAAACAAACGTTTATTCTTTGTTTCTATCATAAAATTTAGCAAACAGGTAAATTTTCTCCTTCACTGATGTGTGTTGATGAGGCTGCACTGAAAGGCAGCACTGATAGGCAACACTGATGGGCACTGATAGGCTGCACTGATGAGGCAGCACAGGTGGGAATTGAGGAGGAGGCACTGATGATGCTGCACTGATATGCAGCACTGATGGGCACTGATAGGTGGCAATGATAGGCACTGATAGGCGGCACTTATGGGTGGCTCTGATGGGCACTTATGGGTGGCACTGATGGGTGGTATTGCTGGGCACTGATTGGCATTGCTGAGTGGAACTGCAGGGTGCCACTGCTGGGCACTTTTGGGGCTGCACTGATAATCAGTGCCCTGAATATCAGTGCAGATACTTGTCGTTATCGGCAGTATTTTCCTCATGCTGTGACAGCATGAGGAAAGTTCTGCCAATAACTGGAAACTGTATTTATTTTGTGATCAGCTGTCATTGGACACAGCTGATCACATGGCAAAAGGCCGCTGTAATTGGCCTTTTACCTTCTCATGTGATCAGCTGTGCCCGTAGGACATAGCGATCACAGACAGCACCGGGAGCACGCGAGGTGCGTGTTCTGGGAAGACATCATATGACGCCCTCCCAGAAATGGACAACCGTGCTGTAGTCATCATTCTGCCATAGTGCAGTTGTAAAGTGGTTCATTTCCCCGATAGTCTCTAGTATAATATTTCTATGACATGGACTCCATTTTCATATTCTCACATAATCCGTTATGTATATTTCCCGAATGTCCATTCTACTGGTGAACAGTATAGTGTCCCATTACCCTGGTTTTCACTGTACTATCAAATTTCTCTGACATAGATCTGTGTACTATGTTTCATAGACATGGTTACCTCCACTGCCTGTAGATGCTGTAAAATTACAGGTTCCACAGGTCTGTTAGCAGATGTACCTGGCAGTTTACCAGTGTTCAGATTTCCTATTGCACTGTTTGGAAAACTTATTAAAGCAGTTAATAGTTTTTTTTTTTTTTAGATTGTTTGAAAGATTGACACCCCGGTCACATCGAGCCCGACTTTGAAATTGTGTGACTTACAGTGAAGTCGCACGATTTCAAAGTTCGGGTGAGATGCTGATTTCAGGTGCGATTTGCAAGACATCTGACACAGATGTCTATGCAAATTGCTCCAAAAGTAGTACATGTACTAGAAATCAGTGCGGCTCCGACCAAGTCGGAAACCGCACCAATTGACCACTCTAATTGTGGACAATAGGGTGCAACTTAGCATACGATTTGCAAGTAGCATACCATGCAAATCGCATGCCAAGTCGCACCCGATGTGACCGGGGGTGTAAGGTGGAATGCCAGTCAAAACTTATTTTTAGCTTTTGGTAGTTTGAAAACTTTAGTCAGAAGGATTTTTGTTGTTTGTTATCTCACTGGCAAGAATGTATTTATCACAATATTATATTATATGAGCAATCCTTCCCAAAGTCCCATAGAATGCCCAATGGAAGATTTCTCCTCTGCCTCTGTACCAGGCACAGCTGTTACATTATAAATCTCTGTCCCAATCACCTAAGGCCACATTCGCACTTGCGTATTTTTGGAACATGCGTTTTGGAAACATGCTACAAGTGCGCATTGCATTTTTGGGGTCATTAATTGTTACAAACGCACCAAAACACATGTTGAAACGTGCAGTGCTGCATGGCCAAAAAGGTGTGAAAGCTTCTTTGGCGCTTTTATCATGCGTAGATGGATGGGCTGCCCTGTGTACATTGCTTGAAAATGCCTGCAAGGACACCGGTTCCCCTTGCACTAGGTGTGAGTGGGGTTTACAAGTAAATGGGCTGCCCTATGCATGTTGTGTATAAAAATGTGTACTCGGGTTCCTGTTACTCTGGGTGTGAATGGGGTTTTCAGGTGAATGGGCTATCCCATGCACGTTTTGTGAAAACTCTCAGGGACACAGCAATAACGTTTTCTTTTTTCTGAAAAAATAGAAAAAAAATGCTTTGGCTGGAGCTCTTCTTTAAGATCATAGTCATTTTGTTGTGCTTATGTATGTGAAGATCAGCACAGAAAATGCAGCAAAGAACCTCTAAAGAAAGCAGATGAGGGTGCTGCTAGTAACTACTCTTGTAACTGAGCAGCTAACAGTATATTACAGGCAAATTAAAAAAAAAAAAAAAGCCCTTAGTCTAGTTATGTACTTTTTAAAAAAATATTAAGGTAACTATGTCATGCCTTTTGTGTTCAGTCCAACCTTATAAGAAAGGAGTAGGCACCAGCAGATGCAGAACATTTAAATATGTTTCTACAGGGCTGCCCAGGAGTATGCAAATACTCTTTTTTTTTTTTTTCATTAACCCCTCGCCTACAGGGCACTTATACCCCCTTCCTGCCCAGGCCAATTTCCAGCTTTCAGCGTTGTCGCACTTTGAATGAAAATTGCGCGGTCATACAACATTGTACCCATATTAAATTTTTATCATTTTCTGTGACAGATAGAGCTTTATTTTGGTGGTATTTAATCACCTCGGGGTTTTTTATTTTTTCTTAAACAAACCAAAAAAATTTAGAAAAAAAAATGTTTTTTCTTAGTTTTTGTTATAAAATTTTGTAAATAAGTGATTTTTCTCCTTCACTGATGTGCGCTAATGAGGCTGCACTGATGGGCACTGACAGGCTGCACTGATGGACACTGATCGGTGGCAGTGATGGGCACTGATGAGGAGGCACTGGTAGGTGGCACTGATAGGCATTAACAGGCATCACTGATGAGCACTGAAAGGCAGAACTGATACATGGCACTGATAGGCGGCACTGACTGGCACTGACAAGCACTGTTAGGCAGCACTGACAGGCACTGTTAGGCGGCACTGATGCGCACTGATAGGCAGAAACTGACTGGCACTGATAGGTGGCACTGATTGGCATTGATAGGTGGCACTGACTGGTGCTGATGGGTGACACTGAAAGGCAGCTCAGATGGGCACTGATATGTAGCACTGATGAGCACTGATGGGCACTGGCACGAGGCACTGATGAGCACTGACATAAGGCACTGATGAGCACTGACACAAGGCATTGACAGGTGGCACTGCTGGGGCTACACTGATCGTCACGGCACACTGATCATCAGTGCCCTGATGATCAGTGTAGATGTCCCCTTCGCGGAAAGCCGATTACCGGCTCTCCTCTCCTCTCGAGCTGTCAGTGTGACAGCTCGAGAGGGGAGAAATGCCGATAACCGGCATTTCCCTGTTTACATGTGATCAGCAGTGATTAGACACAGCTGATCACATGACCGAGCCAACACCTTCGGCTCTTTCCGTGATTGGTGATCCGCTATGTCCGAAGGACACAGCGCACCGCCGATCGCCGCTCTGCGCGCTCCCTGAGCCGCGCATGCGCAGTGAGAATGGGAGGACATCATATGACGTCCTTCCAGAACAAGAGAACCACCTTGCGCCCGTCATATTACTATATGGCAGGTGGGAGGTGGTTAAAGTGAATCTGACCTGCTCCAAATTTTTTCTCAGGTGACAACAGTTTTGAAAGACATAACCCTTGGGTGCGTACTTGTGTTAATTTTCCAATTTATTACCATTTTCTGTGTGGGTCTCCTTGCAGCCTAGGCCCAGGCTATGCATGGTGCCTCAACTTCTGCCCAAATAGAGGTTAAGCCTACCCCCTGTCATTCAGCTGTCAAAGTGGCAGGGGTGAAATTTAAACTGGTTGTAAACCTCAGACATGAAATATGAACAAAACATATCCCTCTATAATGTGTGCTTGTCTCAATTCAGAGAGCAAGTGTCATTTCTGTCTGCTGCCTCATTTCTCTGTTATCTGTATGAGTCACTTATGACAAGTTTTCTTGACACCAGCAAAAAAAAAAGGTGACAGCGGAGGGAACAGTCTGTGATTGACAACCTCAGCTTTGTTCCTATGTGCTTTGTGAAGGGGGTGTGTCCCTTACCTCCAGTCAGCTTTCAGAGCTCTCCTCACTGCTGTAACTTCAGCTATCCTCCTCTGATTTTCAGAGCTGAGAGATCCTGTGTAAATTCTGCACTTTGAATGGATGTAGGAGCTAGACAGTTGCAGAAAGACAGGTGCAATTTATTTAGTAGGATTGCTTTAATCTCTGTGTATCAGCTGAGACCAGTCACTTCGCTGGGTATATGTAAGGCTAGGTTCACACCTATGCAATTGCGTTTGTCCTGTTTCTACAGTGCTTTTTGCGGTGCATTTTTGCTGCTCTTTGCTGTTTTTTTTTCTTGTTGCTAGGCAAATAAAAATGCAGCAAAAATGCACTACATGCTTTTCTGCAGCTTTTGGCTCTGTATGCCACCAGAATATATTAAATTGAAACAATTCAAATGAATTTGAAATGCAGACTTTCAGCTTTAATTCAAGGGAATGAACATAAATATCAAGTACAAATTGTAGGAATTGCAACCATTTTTATACACAGTCCCTCCATTTTCAGGGGCTCAAATGTACAGTAATTGGACAAATGAATATAATCATAAAAAAAAAGTTAATTTTTAATATTTTGTTGAGAATCCTTTACTGGCAATGACTGCCTGAAGTCTGGAACCCATGGACATTACCAAACACTGGTTTTCCTCCTTTCTTTGCCAGGCTCTAACTGCAGCTGTCTTCAGTTGTTCTTTGTTTGTGGGTCTTTCGTCTTTAGTTTTGCCTTCAGCAAGTGAAATGCATGCTCAATTGGGTTGAGATCAGGTGATTGACTCGGCCATTGCAGAATATTCCACTTCTTTTCCTTCAATAGCTCCTGGGTTGTTTTTGCAGTGTGTTTTGGATGATTGTCTATTTGTACTGTGAAGCGCCGTCCAACTTTGCTGCATTTGTCTGAATTTGGGCTGACAGTATATCTCTAAACACTGCAGAATTCATCCGGCTGGTTCTTTCTTCTGTCACATGATCAATAAACACCAATGACCCAGTGCCACTGGAAGCCATGCATGTCCATGCCATCACACTGCCTCCACCATGTATTATAGATGACGTTGTGTGCTTTGGATCATGAGCTGTTCCAAGCCTTCTCTTAGTTTCATCCATCCAAAGAATGCTTTTCCAGAACTGGTCCAGCTTTTTTTAGATTTTTTTTGGAAAAGTCTACTCTGACTTTTCTATTCTTCAGACTTATGAATGGTTTGCACCTTGTGGTGAACCCTATTTGCTCTTGTGAAGTCTTCTCTTGATTGTAGATTTTGACAATGATACGCCCACCTCCTAGAGCATGTCCTTCACTTGTCTGGATGTTGTGAATGGGTTTTTCTTTACCATAGAGAGGAGCCTCTGATCATCCTCCACTGTTGTCTTCCGTGGATGTCCATGCCTTTTTATGTTGCTGAGCTCAGTACATTCTTCAGAATGTACCAAACTATTGACTTGGCCACTCCTAATGTTGCTGTTATCTCTCTGATGGATTTGTTTCATTTTTGAAGCCTTACAATGGCCTGTTTCACTTGCATGGACAGCTCCTTTGAACACATGATGTAGGGTCACAGCAATAGATTCCAAATGCAAATACCACACTTAGAATCAACTCCAGACTTTTCACCTGCTTAAATGATGAAGAAATTACGCCCACACCTGGCCATGAAACAGCTTTTGATTCAATTGTCCAAATTACTTTTGGTCCCTTGAAAAAAGGGGGATGTCTACTCTTAAGAGCTGTAATTCCTAAACCTGTCCTCCAATTTGGATGTACATACCCTCAAATTAAACCTGGGAGTGTGCACTTTCAGCCCATATCCATTATATAACTATAACTTGAATATGTTTTGGTAAATACCTGAAAAAAACTTAAATTGTTCCTGTGTTCAAATATATATGGACCTAACTGTATATCCTGCCTAAGCAAAGGTTGCCTTCAGTGAAAACCACATCTCAAAGGTGGATCCAGAAATACAGACAGATAAAGCTGTATTCAAATCTAAAATCTGCTTGTTTTGCTAGGGCCCCACTGGCATTAAAGCTGAATTACAGTTTTTTCTTTCTTTCTTTCTTTTTTTTTTTTTTACATATATTGCTCTAGCTTGGACCAATGTACATATTCCATACCTGGCTAATCACTTTGAAAATTGAAAATTACTGTAGTAGCCTCTGCTACTACAGTGATCCTCACTGTCTTCTGGGTCCATTGGCAAGTGTTTGTCCTGCTGCATAGTGAACACAAGGGGTCACTTATTTGACAGGGGCACCATTCAAAGAACGCCCCTGCCGAGTGAGCATTCTTGAATGGATGAGGTGGAGATTGTGATGTCAACTCCCCAACTTTCCACCATACCTTATCAGAGAAATCTTTGCATTGATTGGGAATATATAAAGCGTTTTCTGATTGGTGCCCACACCAAACAAGCAGCCCCCCCCTGAGTTTTCTATCTAGCAGAATGTCTGTATGCTGGTGAATCACATGCATCTCTCGGTGGATATCTTCTCCACTTTACACCCAAGTCCTTGGCAAGATAATGAGGTGATCTGGTTTCTAATATCACTTTTATTTTATTCATCTGATGTTTCCTACAAGCTGTCCTCTGCTTTTGATTGTCTAGCTGAGGTCCCTGTTTTAATTTACTGTCCCTTAAGCATACTTTAATAAAAATGAAAATAATTTGCATATCCTATCACAGGACAAAGAGCAGGCTATTCATGATTGTGTGGGTTATATGCCACCTATCAGCCGATCAATCAGAGAGTAATTCCTCCCCTATATAACCTCCTACACAGAAAGTACTTACGTTTTTCCCCAGTGTCTGTGAGGTGTGTTGTTACCAGGGTGGATTTGATTTAAATCACTAGTCAGTAAGGCTTGATTTAAATCATAGTTTTCTACATAAAGATTAATTCTTGCTGGTATAACTTTAATATGCAAGTAGATGAAGATTTTTTTAGAATAACAACTTTTCATTTTAGTTTTTTTATCCCCAGTTTAATAGGTTAATCATTCATATTTGGACAACTTTTCTGTTGTACTTAGGAAGGAGAAATATAATCATTACCTTAATAATAAACAATTTAAATAGATTTATTCAACTGAAACAATAACATTACAGCATATGTTATTTGCTTAAACAAACATCCATGTTTGTTAACTAATTTGGCTAAACAAAATATATATATTTTAAGAAACTTAGACTGTCAGCCCCTTCCTCCTCACACTTAGTTTCACTTTCTTCTTGTGCAGATCTATTCCACTCCAAACAATCAGAAAAATATTGTTTCTATTCTATTCACTGAACTTCTTGAAACTTAGCACTGAAGGGGTTGATTCTGTATTCATAGGTTTGTAGAAGTTAGGATTAAGGTCTTTTTCTTAACTCAGTTCATGTTATAACATTTTTGCTGTGAAGAAGAGGCATGTGATCTCCGCTGAGTCAAATTCTGTTTTGAGAACTGCAAAAGTAAACCGAGCACCGAGATAAACATAATATCTTGTAGGCAGAGAAACTGCCCAATAATCTTACAAAAACTTCTGGAAGAGCATGACATTGTGAATGGATTAATGGAATTTATTTACCAAAAAAATTAAACATATACAGCTTTATTCTACATAATTAAAAAAACTAATCTTTATTTCATGATGGAATAACCTTTGGATGGTAATATATTTTCCTCAAAAAGCATTTTATTTAAAAAAATCCGATTTAAATTAAAAAAATCCGATTTAAATCAAAAAAATCAGATTTTTAAAATTTTTTTTTTTTTTAAATCATTGATTTTTATCCACCCTGGTTGTTACTGATGTGCTGCATGTGCTCCTGGAGAAAAATTTTGTGGTCTGGAACTGTTCTGCTGAGAATCAAGGACTTCAGTCAGATCCATGCGAAAAGCTATTAGCCAATATGGATGGTACCCGAGCCTCTTTGCATAGGAGAGAAGAATCCTTGAGGTTTGCCTGTAATGTGGCCTTATGGCGCCGGACCCTGCGTATAGAAACCTGTGTAGTGTTTGTTCTGACCAAGGTGCTTTCCAGCAGGGTGCTATACAGGTCCAGGGGGGGGGGGGGGGGGGGGCCAAAGATATAAGGTGGACTGAGTCCTTGAAGGTCTTTTATGACAGAGCCCCGCTGTAATAGGTTAAGG